CCTAAACCATGGGATTGGTACAGGTAGTTAACTCAGTCTGAGTTACTGACTAAATTCAGAGCACTGATGTGAAAATAGAGCTAATGTCAAAACTCATTTTGGAAATCAGGTTTCCTTAATCAATATTAAGATTTATCTCATTTTCTGCTCCCATTCACTCCCTTCCAAGGAAATGAATGAAATGGGCAGTAAAGATTGTCCAGAATGGGTATTGGATACTTCAATAGATCTGTGATTTCATCAATGTGGGCATTCCCTCCAAACTGTGCAGGTAAGTACTATCCATGTCAGCTCACAAACCCTCCAGTCAACCCACATGCAAAAACACCTTGCTTAGTTCTCATATGGATACAGAGAATAGGCAGTAAATATGGGTGTAACTTTCTGAAAATATGTATGTTAAGCTGAATTTCTGCAAAGCAAATTTTATTTTAGTTGTACCACAGAAGTTTCTATTTAAAGATAATCAATGAGGAACTCCTGTAACATGGACAATACTTTAATTAGGCTACTTGACTTCTCTGTCTGGATGTCCCATAGGCATCTGAAACTCAAAATGAACAACACCAAACTCATTCTCTTTTCTCCTAACTCTATCCCTCCACCTAACTTCTCCTATTTCTGTCAAGGGTGGCACCATCCTTTCAATCACCCAAATTTACAACCTAGTCTTAACTCTTTACTCACTAAATATACACTCTCCACCATTTAATCAATTGCAAAGTCTTGTTGGCTCCACGTCATCAACATGCTCTCAAATCCACCCTTTTCTCTCAACTCCCAAACTCATTCCATTTCACCTAGGCTAATATAATGACTTAACTTATGGCTTCACTGCATCTGGTCTCTCCCTCCTGAAATCCATCCTCTATACATCTACCAAATTTATAGATCTAAAGTATTATGTCTGGCCATGACATTCCTCTGCTCAAAAAGTGGCAATGGCTCTCCATTGCCTTTAGGATAAAATACATACCTTCTCCAGCATTTAAAGCCTTCTACGGTCTGGCTCCAGCCTATCTTTCCAACTGATGATACGTTCTCTTCCTCACCAAATTAACCCAACTTGCTGTTCTCCACAGAAAACACTGTCCTCCCTGCTTTTGCACAAGCTATTCCCCACACCTGGAATGCTCTATTCACCCACACCTCTCAGAATCTTCACCTCCCTTCAACATTCAGCCCAAGTGCCACTGCTACCCCAGTGTATTTTTTGTTCACGTAACCTGCATTTACTTATCTATGAACATGCAGGAAACTTCTAGTAAAATAAAAGCTTCTGAGGGTTCATTTGCATCACCAGTCTCTAGCACAGGGCCTGGCACACAGTAGGTGTTTGTTGACTTTTTTTATACTGCACGCCCTGAATTCATATCTCTCTGTAGCAGTGTAGCCAGAATGATCTGCAATCTAACTCAACACTAACCCCAAAAGGAACTTACCAATGCCCAAGTTCACATTATTAATGCTTAAGCCATCATGAGTAAAATTTAACATTTAAAAATTTTTCCTCAACTGCCTAATTTCATATCACAAGTATTTATTTCTATCCTAGTGCCACTTGTAGTTTAGAGGAAAGAGCACTGGATATGACACCAAAACATTGGTTTCAAGTCCAGGATCCCTCCATTTATTAGTGTGACCTTGACCTGGTATCTCTAGATCTTAGTTCATCTGGAAATGGAAATAACACACTACCTATGTCAAATCAGTTATTGAAGTAATCAATTTAGATGATATAAAGTACTTTGCAAACTGTAAAGGACTCCTATTATTAATTCTAATTGTTTTAAAGGGAAAATGGGAAATATGAATGCTAGTTTGGCTTCAGGGCAGGGGAAAAGTAACAACTAGTAACAACTACTAAACAGTTCCCAGTACACAGTAAATGTCTAATAAATGTTAGTTGATTAATTGCAAGCTCTTTGACAGTAGTGTCTACATTTTACCTAACTATGCATTTTCTGATGCATGGCATTCTGGCCTAAAAAGGTTCACAGAAAGTGGCAAATTACCATAGATCATATAATCAGTTAAAAATTTGAGAAGCAATAGCTGATAAATTTTTAATCTTTACAAGAATGAAAATGATTATATTTTTCTGATAGGATTAGTACTGATTTCTTTCTCCCCTCTACATTAAGTGTAAGAAATGTCTGAGACAGTCACTTCACTCAGTTCTCTGTTCAAAGTCCAGGACACTTCTGCAAAAATGACTTCCCCCAAACCCTGCCAACAAAATGCTAGTTTTCTAGTGAAAAGAAAAAAAAAAAAAACACAACTCTATGTCACTGGCCATTTAAACAGGTATCTGAGTGAAAATTGGGATTTCAAAACAAATTAAATGGGGCCCTTTTTATATATCTGCTATGTGAACAAAGCTGAACAGCCACTGAACTAAAGATCCAAAACATTAGGGAAGGAAGAATTCCACAGGCAAGACAGACATCCAAAATGGCTCAACATAATTTATTTTTTTATGTTAAAATGTACAGAGTTCTTTTGAAAGTACTTGCTAGAAAGGGAAAAAAAAGTGATATTACATACAAGGAGAGGAAGGGAGGCCAACTGGCCCAGGAGCGCATGACATGGAGAATTACAAAGGCATCTAGGCACCCCTTCCCCTTAGCTTACAAGTCACCATGAACAAAGTACAAAGAGGTTACAAAACAGGAAAAGCAAATATAAACAGACAGGAATAGACTTAGCTTCATTTGTACATGCGGCTTTTAGAGGCATCTGGAGCTCTATTCACACACTCTAGAGATCTCTTTAAAGAGAATTTTATCTTTCTTAAAATAGTTTTTAATATTCTACAACAAAGATAAAAAATTTTAAAGATGGAATGAAATGAAAAAGCTCTTATTTTAAAAGGCATCAAAGTCACTAACAGTGAGTTTTTTTTTTAATTTCTTTTAGAAGATTACCCAAGTTATCTTGCTAAAAATACATTTTTTTTTAAACAGAAGTGAAAAAATGACAGGTACCAATATTACTGTGTTGGATAATTTCTTTTATAATATAGAAAAGAACGTTTTTCTCTACAATAGTTCTACAGTCACAAAGAGGCTTGTGGAAAAGGGAGCTGCCCGATTGATTTTTTTTTTTTTAAGAAAGAAACCAAACCAAACACAACCGCAAACCAAAAGAAACTGAATTCACGGCCCTCATTTCAACAGCTTCTCCTTCTGCCTTGACCCACCCTCCTCCCAATATACCTCCCACCCCACCCCCCACCCCAACCCAACCAGGAAGCAATGACACAGCTGAAGATGTAGGGAGGAGAGGGCAGCACAGTGCACTTTCTACATAGATGACTGGGAACTGGAATAGTATATACAGAGAAACTGGGTCCTACACAGCCTTGCACATGCTCAAAATTAATAGCAATAAGATGTGGAATTCTGCCTTTTCTATCTAACACTTAATTGGGAAAGTCAATTTAAGTGCATCTGGAGGAAAAAACCCAATAATCTGTGCATTTGAAAATTTTTAATGCCTAATTAGTACTTTTAAAATTTTATTTATAAAAAATATACAAATAAAGGAGATAACATGCTTATGAGTATTTCATTAAGCAGTATTTCCCCCTTTTGGATATGTGACTGCATATGCCAAGTAGTATGGCAGTTTCCACCTTTTTTGCTGATGGAAAATGTCTCTTTTTCTATCCCAGAAGGGAGTATCAGGAAAATATTGGAGAAATGATTGCACAAGGGGAAGGAGAATGGGGTTGGAATAATATATTAAAGTATTGAAATCCTGCTGACTAGACTCTGTGGAATTGTGCTGGTGGCCTGTCCTTCTTCTAGTCAACCACTCATAGGAGATGGGTTGATACACTCTGATTCACAGGGGATGAACTTAAAAAAAAAAAAAGGAATCTCAAAGGACACTGGGAAACTGGAGGTATGTGCTACTTGAACAGTTATACAACTCATGTCATAAATTCCCTTAGGAAACACAGATATTTCTCATTATTCTTTTCAACATTAAATAAATAGTGACAAAGATTTTTCAGGTTTCTTTTTTAATTCACTGAAATGTAGTTTGTCCACTGATGCTTAGTGAATAATGTAGTTTAAAAAGAGGCAAACCACTGGAGACTGCTATTTGAATTCAGTCAGATTTGAAGGCTCAAGAATCAAGACCCTTAGCATTTCAAAGTACATACTAAAAATAAGAACTTTGATGGACTATAAGATTTATGGCTGATTCATTTGGTGATTAAAAAATAAGAGGTCAATTTTGTCTTCTTGATGGCTAGCTGAACATCTATAATCATACAAAGACTACATTTGGATTGCAGACAGCATTCCTCAGAGATACGGCTGTTAGATGAGACTTAGAGCATTTTTTGTGTCTCTGAGAGCTGGATGAGAATATTAGAAAATTACATTATACTTGGCTTAAGCAAAACAAACACTCCAATGAAATTCATCTACAAAGAAAAAGATGTGGGAAAGGTTTCAAGAGGTGTGTGTGTAGGGAGAGGAGGGGATTTAAAGAGGAGAAATATTTCCTGCCTCACTTTAATAACAATAATAATAATATTAATAATAATAATAATAATAAGTTTAAGGAGTTTGGGTTGTTCTCCATGTCCCCTTCCGAGTCTCCCATAAGTGCCTCCTGCTGGAATGAAGTAGGAAATGAAAGGTTGGGTTTGGAGGGAAGGGTTTGCTTAACCCTCGAGATGTATAGCTAACACTTAAAAATGACAACATTGGGAGCTGTGCACAGCAAGGGGGGAAACATACATTTTAAAATAAAATAAAGATAAATTCACTTTTACACAAATTCTGTCCACGTGGTATGTAAAGAAAGTAAGGCTCTTTTTAATTATGAAAAGATTTTGTGCATGGTTCCCCCCTCCCTAAATCCATTCTTAGATGAATTCTACTGTAAAATGTTTCAGGATTGTGAAGAAAACCAAAACCCAGAACAAAATGAACCAAAAAAAAAAAAAAAAAAAAAAAAAAAAAAAAAAAAAAACCAGGCTTTCTAAAAAAAAAAAAAAACCAAAAAAAAAACCCTCTAAATCTACAGCAATATTTTAACTGGAAAAAGGTCCATTTTCTCTGGTTTGTCAGTATAAAAGGTTCCTTTATTTATATATATTTAAGTTTTTAAGTTGCAAGTTCATCTTGCTCATCTTCTCATGTAGGGTCCATTGAGAGACTGCTTGGGCACGCCAGCAGTATTCATGTAGCTGTGATGGGAGGGGCCAGTGTACATCATGTTCCCATGAGGGTTTGGCTGCATAGGCTGCTGGGTATAGGCCTGGCTCCCCATCATTCCCATCTGCATCTGCATAGGATACTGTGCTGTCTGGTTCATGTAGGCAGGGTTACTATGGTAACTGCTGTTCATCATGGGCTGTGTCATTCGGTAACTGTTCATGGCATTCAAAGTGTTCATATTCATGGAATTGACATTATAGGGGGTCGTTGGCATTAAATTAACCCCCATGTTCATGCCACGCTGAACAGCTAATGCACGAGGGCCAGCCTGCATGGCGACTGCTGGCGGGCTGCGACCATAAAGCTGCTGCTGGTGAGCAGCTGCCGAGGGCAGTGGTGCTGATTTAGAACGGATGGAAATGTGCCCCTTGACTGGCATTTGCCCTTGCAACCTCTGAGTGTGGGGAATGCCAATGTTGGTGGCAGACATGTTGCACTGTAGCAGAGGTGACGTGAGGTTCATGGTAGTGGATGTCAGGTTTGGGGGTGGTGTCATGGTGGCTTGTGCTTGAGGGGCCCCAGCTAATGGATGGGATGGAGCTAGCTGAGCCAGTCCCGTGTTGGACAAAGAAACACTGGTTGCATAGGAAGTCACAGCAGGAGAATGGCTATAAGGCATGGCATGTGGGTCCATAATGGTGTTAGTCAGCTGCTGCAACTTAGCTAAACTGAAGGTGGCTGACGGCTGGGAGTAGCTGCTGGCACCAAAATCCCCTGGAATCCTTTCATAAATACTTATGTTCCCAGTGCTTCCGGATTCCGGTATTTCCATGATCATTGGGGCCGGGGGGAAGCTGTTATTCATACTACACTGTGACAGTGAAGGCTGCTGCTGGGGGGGTGGAGGGGGTTGAGGAGGCTGGGGCTGGGGTTGGGGCTGGGACTGGGGCTGCTGCTGGGGGGGCGGTGGTGCCGGCTGCTGCGGCTGCGGCTGCGGCTGCTGCGGCGGCGGCGGCTGCTGCTGGTTACTTGGTGGCCTTTCCACCACACAACTCTGAGGTGATTTGATGTTACAGTTGGTGGCAGGCTGCACACTGTTCTGCTGCATCATGCTGCAGCTACTGCCCATACTGGCCATCTGCTGAGTGACAACACAACTGTTCTGAGTGAGGCTACTGGAGGAAGACAATCCTCCGTAAGAGCAACTGCTCTGGGAAGAGTTATTTCCACAAATGCTGCCACCCATAGTGGAATCGTAGCTGCTGGGGTTCTCATAATTTTCTGTGGTGCTCTCAATGCTGCCCAGGTCACTGAAGCCACTGTCCACCACCTGCTGAGAGTGGTCTGACACCGAAGGCACATCCATCATGGGGCTGGTCTCCATGTTCTGCATAGAGGGTGCGGACAGGGATCCTTGTTCAGGGCTGATCTGGGTATAACCACTCTCCAGAGCAGGCACGGTGGGACTGCTGACGGAGCGGACTGACTGGCTCGGATGAGACTGAACAGAAGATACCGGGCTGTTGTGTTCCGAGGCGTGGCAGTCTTCGACCATCGACAGCTGAGGGTCTTCGTCCGCTTGGGTATAACTCTGCAAAGTCTGACAAGCGGCCAGCGTCTCTTCGCAGTCCTGGTATGCCCCATCATGCTCGCTGCTCTCTTCCTGGGTCAGTGACTGCACCGCTTGCACGGTTTCCAGATCCAGTTCGCTGTGAGGAACCTCTTCCTCTTCCTTGAACTCCATCAACTCTTTAGCGCTGGCGGCGGCTGCTGCTTCACGATCATCCTCAGAGCCGGGCACGTGCTCTGACACAACTGATGTCTCACGGGAAGCCTGTTCTTCCTCAGAATCCGGTTCTGGTTCATTTCTGCTCTTCGCTTCCTCTCGATCATTCTGGGTACTTGTTTCTAAAAAAGATTCCTGACCCCCGGGCTCCTCCTTGACTCCTTCTCTGATTGCCTGCTCCTCTGATTCCTTTTTCCGTGTGGATTCTAGGTGACCATCGTCTTCATCATCTGCATCGTGGTCTTCATTCTGGTTGGTTCCCAGGGCCACCTCCTCCTCTTCCTCACGCTCCTGCTCTTCTTCTGAAACCCGGGGCTTCTCCTCAACTTCCTCTTCTTCTACCTCAGGTTCTTTAGATTCTGTCACTGGGCTACCACGACTGTCCCCTGGGGAAGCTGCTCTCACTTCACTGCTGGTTGTATCCTCATCTTCTCCCTCTCCTGCCTCTTCTGTTTCTCCATGTATATCATTCTCCTTCCTTTCCTCAGCAAGGGGCAGATCTTCTTTTGGTTCAGCAGCCTCTTCTTTGTCTTGAATTTTGGGCTTGCGCCCAGACTTAGGAAGGGGTACCAGGGGATCAACTCTACATTCTTGAGTAGATACTGTTATTTCTCGGTTCAGCTTGAACCCTGGTTTTCGGCCAGGCCTTTTCTTCCAGTGGATTGGTTTACGACTTTTGCCTTTGGGCCAACCCTTCTTCTTTTTCAAAGGTGTAGAAGTATCTGGCTCAAGTGGGGAGTCCCTCACATCACATTTTCTCAACATGGATACTGGCTTCAGAATAGGGGTGCCTGTGGAAGAAACAAAAAAGTCATCATGCTTTGAATTTTTTCTAGTGTCTTTCTCTGAGAAACTAAAAATACTTTACATAGATAATTTTATATATAATCACAAACTCCTTAGAAAGGAGTAGAGAGTATAGAACATATTGACTGTATGGCTGCTAAGAAACCAAATCACAGTGAAGAGGCATAGTTACAAATGAAATCCAGGTATCAAGCATGCTGTGTACTACCATCCAGTGGCTAACTCTGTTTCTATCCAAGAATCAAAAATGTTTACAGTTATCCTAACTTTTCCCCCCCTTTTCCACATAGGTGAAAGAGTTATAAAAGAAGGTCATTCACAAATTACAGATAACAAAATTTTGAGTCTCCTACTTTAAAATATTGTTTTGGGTTATTGTTATTATCACGAATGTTAGATTCACTCCTCTGTGCAGCTCATCAATTCTATAACATGTTTCAAACACAATCTTCCTAGGAATTTGGTACACATTCAACTTCCAAAGCACACCTAGAGTACCACTGCAGTAGAACCAAACAAGCACTGGACTAAAAGGTAAGGAAACCTAATCGTCTTAGTCCTGTCACCAGCTTTAGTTTTCTCATTTGCAAAATGAGCGAGTGGCAGGATGATATTTAAGGTTCCATCCAGTGCCAGAATCCTACAACTATTTCACAGAAAACAATAAGAGTGATAATGAATCATATGAAGTCACAATTATCATATGAATATTCAACTAGAATAGTGGTAAGTTTGGATGTCCGAGAAATGAGAGTTGATAATCATCCTTGCTACAAGTCACCCAGTCAATGAGCATTTATTAAGCCCCTTCTAGGTGCCAGATACTGCACTAAGCTCTGGGGATACAAAAAGAGGTAAAACACAGTCCCTGCCCTCAAGGAACTCACACTCTAATGCAGGAAACAAATTAAAAAATATATATACAACCAAGCTAAATACAAGACAAACAAAGGAAATCAATAGAACTAAGGGACATCAAGAAAAACTTCCTGTAGAAAATGGGATTTTAATTAAGATCTGAAAGAAGTCAGGGGGTGGAAATGAGAAGGAAGAACATTCCAGGCATGGGTGGCAGCCAGCGAGAATGCCCAGAGCTGAGAGATGGAGCATCCTGTTCATGGAAAAGCCAGGAGGCCAGTGTCACTGGACTGAAGAATATGTGGTGGGAAGGTACAAGAAGACTGGAGGGACTAGGTTATGAAGAGCTCTGAATGCTAAACAAAAGATTTTGTATTTGATCCTAGAGGTGACAGGGAGCTACTGGAGTTTATTGAGAAGAGGAGTGACACGGTTGGACCCGTTCATAAGATTTAGAAAGACACAAAATAATCTCAAGTCTATTTTCAAGTTCTCCTCTATCCTTTAAAAGGGATCTGCAATATAAGTAATGAATCAGTCAAAGCATCCTTCTTCTGTTTAAGATTTTGATGTTTTTTACCTGTATAGATTTCTTCACAGCCACCATCTTTATTACCTCAGACAGTTTCTTAACCTTACAACTTTGCAGAGAGTTCTTGGTATAAACTTTTGCTGAAACAAAACTGAAAAGGTACCCATACTTTGATATGTATATATGTGTGTTTGTGTGCCTTCTGCCTGCTAAATAGAGAAATGTGTATTTAACACATAAAAGTAATAGTGTAATGAAAAATAGGTTAAAATGTTGTTGTTAAATCATTTTTGAGTCGTGTCTGACTCTCTGTGACTCCATTTGGGGATTTTTTTGGGGGGCAGAAATACTGCAGTGGTTTGCCCATTTCCCTCTCTAGCCCATTTTACAGATGAGGAAACTGGGGCAAACAGGGTTAAATGGCTTGCCCAGAATCACACAGCTAGTAAGTATCTTAGGCCAGATTCAAACTCAGGAAGTTGAGTCTTCCTGACTCCAGGTCTGGCACACTATCCACTGCATCACCTTGCTGTCAGGAAAAGCAAAAATATGTAAAGAAAGTATCTATATTTTAAGAGATAAGAGCGTGTCTAAAACTTAGACATTAACTATTTAGACTCTACATATTAAGAGGTGGGTGTACTGAAAAGGAACTTAACCCTAGAAGACTGCCAAAGTAAAGGTAGAAAAGTTAAAACAATAGGCAGGAACAGATTACCAGGTAATCTATGATGTGACTAATATCTGACTACTGTGAGAGACAGTGTGCCATAATAGATAGAGAACTGGTCTTGAAGCCAAGAAGACTATCAAGTCCTACCTCTGACACATACTGGCTGTGGGACTCTGGGCAAAACCCTTAACTTCCCAGATAGCTCTCCAATACTAGACATAAACAAACTGCTCTGGTAGAGAGTTTTTCCACTATGAATTTACTCAACCATTGAAATCCTAGGTCTATCTATCCCCATCCCTTTTTGACTACTGTCTTTTAAAGTATACGAAATAAAATCTTTAGGAAATCAGTCTTAAGAATACAAAGCAAATTTGTAGCTTCTTATTTTTTTCCAGAGCCAACCCTGGCTAAGCTGAATATTATAATTTTTATTACTTAGTACTATCCATACAACCTCAACAATAAAAAGGGGGAGGGGATTAAAACAATTGTTTAATGCCTTATGTTTATAACAGTTTTGTTCTAATCCATAAAGCTGAAGTAAACCAAACAATTCACATATCTGAAGCATCATTTATAGTCATTCTCAAAATAATTACCGAATGTCTACACTGTGCAGAGTCCTATGTTATATGTTATTTGTTAGAAAGAATATATGGACTGCTAATTCTTATTTGTTAGGACTAAAATCAAATTTGCTTTAAAAGAGAAATACAACTTGACTGAACAGACACTAATTAAAAGCTAAAGACTTGCACTAAAATTTGGACAGTTAAAATTCTTTAAAACGTCTAGCAGAATAAGATATTCTTGGCCTGATTCCAAGAAGTGATCTGTCATTTTGCAGTTTTTGCATTTGCATTAGATTGTATTTTGCAATCTAAGCCAAAAGACTACAGAAATTTGTTCAGTTTAATAAGACTAACAATTGAAATAACTTCATTCTCAGAAAACTTTGTTCATTTAGGTAAAATAGGAGATTTTTGTTCAGTAAAGAATTCTTGTGGATAGGATTTAGGCCAGGTTCTAGACTACCTTCTTTACTTCATGGAAAGCCTTCCACAGTATGTATTATCATTTAAAATACTTTCCTGATAATAGCTCACAATCTAACTATCAATAAAAAAAATAAATCATAAAGAAAAGAGTGGGATAGTGGGTGAAGTTACTCATGGGAAGAGAAAGAAAGATAATATATGGGAGGGGAATAAAGCATTTTAGAGGCAAAGAAATGTGAGAAACTGAAGATAAACATATTTGGTACAAATTTTCAAGAATTACCAAAGAGAAATGTTAGAGGGTCTCCAAAGTCTTACTTTTATAAACTTAGTAAGAGAATTATACTAACAAATTCAGTATTTGTGGGGTTCCTTTTTGAAAATTCTTTAAGGATGGTGATATATTCTAAATTATAATAACGGACAATTAAAAAGTTCCCTGACACATACCCTCAGCATCATCTGATTCTTCTTCTTCTTCTTCATCTTTAGACTTCCTCTTAGAAGAAGGTCGATGCCTAAGGACCTCCTGTGAGGGCAAACAATGAAAGTATCCTCTGGAAAACAGTTCATTTTCATCCTCCTCTTCCTCCTCTTCATCAATTTCAAACGTAGGTTCTAATCTTGGCATTGGCCTCTCAGAGTCAGAATCTTCAAAAGGTTCATCTAACACTTCTGTGGTCTCGGAGATTGTTTCTGTGACCACACTGCTATTATGGTGTTTTCGCTTTCGGACTCTCCTTCTCCGGTGAAGAATTGGTTTCTATTTTTAAAATAAAGAATTTTCTTTTAGTCCCCTCAATAAAACCAAACCACCAGAACTAGAAGTGAGACAATTTAATAAATAGAGAATTCCCATTTCTGTTGGTGACAGATGTGTGTTTCCCCCTTCCAATTTTACAGTATTCAGACATATTGGGGGTGGGGGTGGGAGAACTACTGTCCATCACTAGATGTTTCTAAAATGTATGAATTCTTCCTAACTTAGATGCTAAACACATAATATTACTGGTTACAGAGGTGAAGGGCAGCTAAATAGATTAAACTGGCATGCCTAAAAATAATAATAGCATTTATATTGAAATTTAACATTTGTAAAGTGCTTTACATGTTGAGTCATGTGATCTTTATAAAGATCAGATAGGATTCATTTACTTTTGTTTCAACCTATTTGAGGAAGGGAAGGAATAGTCTGGGAGATAGAAAGAGACCTTCAGTACTGAAATAATTTCCCGTGTCCCCAGAGATAATGCAGAACTTCTCCATGCCTCAAGTCAAATGAGGACAAAAAAACTTTGCCTTATAGAACTTAAGAAGGTTAACAGGAAAAAAAAAAAGAAAAGAAAGAAAAAGAAGGTTAATAGAACATCAGTATAAATCTTCCAGAGGGTTTGTAAAAAGGAAGCTATGCTAAGAAAAAAGGTAACATAGTATATAGAAATACTAAATTGAAGTTTATACACTTGATAATGAAGCTATTAAAAAATAAAAGCAACTTTGTTATATTAAGTGTGTCACAAAAGGCATTAGCTATAGAATGAATCTGATAGCACAGTGACAAGAGATTACTAATATTAATTCTAATGTATTTAGTATTATTTTATTAAGACCCTCAAAATGCATTACATGTTATCTTATTAATAATGTCTTTTAATGAGCCTTTGTGGGAGAAAAAAAGTAAATTATTCCTTCCAAGGTATAGAAAGTACAAAAATAAGACATGAAAACTAAGAAATTTGTTTGTGATCATGTAGTTAACCACAGAGCCAGTCAGAATGTCATTCCTTTAATTTCCATTTCAGTCCTCCTACTAAAAACATAATTTTCAAATACTGTGAAAAATTACACTACTGAAGAAATTAATCATGCCACACGGTTATGAACTGGAATAGGTCCATGACTGAATCTGGTATCCTGATCCTGAACCAGACACCCATCTACAGAGGTGCCTGAAAACTTACACAGCCACTAGAGGTGAAGACACTCTGGCTTACTGGCATCAGGCTCCAGGTGGCATTTCTATCATGACACTCTCTAAAATAAACAATTGCAGAGCTTATGCCTCCCTTTAATCTTTGTCAGAGTTACTATCATTCAGACAAGTATCCACTAAAAAAGCATTTGCCATACATCATTGTTCAGAAAAGGATCTATTAAATAAGTTTAACCAAAACATTTGAGGGAAAGGGAACAATAAAAGGAACCGGTGGGGAGAATGGGGCATACAGGAACGATGGCAGAGCCACACTAACCCCTCTGAGGGCCCTGGAGAAAATCACTACCCAGTTTCTTCCTAACTCAACATCTGGCTCTGCTATCTCATCATAAATACCTCTACACCATCCCTGAAGATTAAAAGAAGAAAAGTGTTTCAAATCTCCTGCAAATCATAGTTTAAATTTCAAACCAAAAGTCTGTCATTTAACTGCTTTTAAATGAGCATATAACCTTTCAGCCAAACCCTGAAGGTTATGTTGAAATATTTTCTTTATCCATCACAGAGTGACATACATATTGTGTCTGGAAGACCAGTCACTGGCTACATTACACAAATACATATAATTTTAAAGACAAAAGCAACAAATCTTATGTGCTAGCTCCTGCAATATTACAGGAACAGGTAAACCCACATTTTAAGCTATAATTAGAAGACGGGAAATACAATGCACTATACCTTTCGTTTTAATGTGGGCTTAGTAAGCACAGGTGGTGAATTTGACCGAGGACTCTCAGGTTCTTCTTCCTCTTCACTGCTCTCACTAAAGCCCCTCAAAATGGCTCTGTCTCCATCATTATACCGGTGAGGCAGTCTATCACTCCCCTCTGGTAATCTGCACTTGAGAGGCTCTGGGCTTTTCTTCAGTGGTCCTCGCCATATCTCCACACTTTCATTTAGTCGCCTTTTGGGGACTTCTGGCTTTTCATCTTTGCCAAACCTCCCCTCTAAAGCTGCCGAATGCTCTTCACTCTCGGTGAACTGTTCCTGGGAGGCTTCAGATTTTTCCTCACAGTCACCATATCTCCCCCGAGGAACTGATGGTGTTTCTTCCAAGGGCAGTTTAGAATCTTTCTCACTAAAAGGCTCTCGGACTTTTTTGTTCTTTCGTCCCCACCGGCCTCTCCGAGACGGTTGACTATTTGCTGGCAGACTATCCAGGGGAAGAACTTCCTTGTTTAGTCGTGTAGAATTAGCTGGTGCAATAATATCTGGTTTCTTTTCATTCTCTATTGAATATGAATCTTCTTTTTTCTCCCAAGACACCGATTTTACCATCTGATTTCAAAAAAATAAAAAAATTAGTTAGTTTTTTCAGTATCCTGCTGGTTATACCTACCTCCTCCAACATTTTAGGTGCTAAGACAAAGTAGGAAAGAAAAACTAAGCTGTTAAGAAAAAAAGAAAATGGAAGCAAAAATGACAGCTAGCTTTTTAAAATACTTAGATATTTAATAAAATATCTAGAACCTAAGTGACTAAAAATGCATCCATAATCACACAGAACTGAAAAGGTTTTCCATGCAGTGTATGATATACTATTTAATATTTAAAAATCCAGAGAATGAAATATAGTTTTTTGACAGGAAAATACTTATACAATTTTATGATCTACCTATGGGTACACACACACAAACACTTTTAACAGTTTTACCCCAAGGGAAATTTATCCAATTTCATTATGCCTGATTTTCAGATTCATAACATTTTCCTTAATTAATAAAGTAACCTGAATTGCTCAGAAATTAGGTGTCCACCTATAACTTCAAAATAAAATTTCCATAAGAAACACATCATGATGATTTTGTTCACAGTAGCTCAGAACAACAAAATACGGACTGTAAGAGCACAGACTTACAGCTGGAAGAAACCTTAAAAACCATCCTTTTCAACCCCCTCTTTTTAAAGATGAAGAAACTGAGGCCCAGGGAGATGAGGTGATTTACCCAAAATCACTGTTAGGATGAGGCAGGGCTAAGCCTTGAAGTCAAGTTTTGTGATTTCAAACTCAGTGTTCTTTTTCTTCCACTGCACCAAACCAATCTTCCTAAATGTTCTGCTATTAAACCGCTGAATGTGTACATCAGCTTTGCTGGGCAGATACTGCCAAAATAAATTATGAAATCTCTTATCATACTGAAGACAACTTGAAACATATGAATCATAGGATCAGATTAGGAGGTGAAAGAGGCTACAGAGGCCATCTCGTCTCCCTCCCTTGTATTTTACAGCAGCAATCTGTGACAGAGATAGGATTTGAACCCAGGTCCTCTGACTCCACACACTACCTGCTTTCCAATGTAACAAAATACCTCTGAAGATGCTTTTGACCTTGAGGGGAGGTAAGGGGAACTGGGGGAAGCAGAGGGAGGTAGGAGAGGGGGAGTGAGAAGAACCTTTACTTATAGCCTTACACTGGAATCCCGTTCCTTTTCCTGGCATTGCTGCTCTTCATTTTCTCCTTCCTCTGCATCCTCTTCCTCTTCCTCTGAGACTACAGAATTGGAGACAATGACAGGAGTCCAACGCAAACATTCAGGATCTACATCTACAGGTCTCAAATTCACTTGAAGCTTTGCCATATGATCCTGGATCAGTTTTTCCCGGCGGATAATCACAAATCTGTAATCAGAAAAAAGTCTAAAGTAGTCAATGATGTGTGGACTACACACAAAGCTACAAATAACCTGACCACAAAGAAATGTAGGTGATGATGATGATGAACGTTCCACATATCCTACTTTACAAAGAAAGGAGCAGCCAGCCAAATGAGCAGCCCAAGAAATGCACCTAAGAGTACTGCATCCTCAAATACAACCACGTGAAGGCTCCTCACTGTCCTCTGAACACACTCTCTTGCCTTCCCTGCTTTACCTATCCACAACCTACTTATCCTTCCAGACTCAGCTTCCAGTACTCCTGCATGGACTTTTCAGAATACCCCAAGTATAGCGACGTCTCCATACTCAGCTCCTATGGCATTTAATGTTTGTAACACATTCTGTACTAATCTCACATGACTGTGTGATTGATGTTATCTCCACTGATAGTGCTAGCTAACTCTTCACATGTTTCTATTTTCTCTCCCCAAATTACCAAGGAATGTAAGCTATCTGAGGCACAAACCACATCTTACACTCCTCTTTATCTCCAGGAGTGCTTAAAGCAGCATCTTTTGTAAAGCAGATACTCGATAAATGTTACCAGCTGACTGATCAAAAAGTTTATCATAATTATCAGTTTTTATTCTAACAATTCAACTAGGACAAATAAGAATCTCTCTGTCCTCATGAAGCTTATAATCAAGAAGGGAAGATAACTACATAAATAGCTATAATATAGGACTGAAAACTATTAACTGGTGTAAGAGAGGTATGAAGGTATGTTATAATAACATCATAATGGGATTTAATAAAGTTCCTTGTAACTAGGTGAACACTGCTAAAGTGGCTATTGCTACTTCAGTGATGCAAAGGTTAAGATTCACTTCATGTATAAAAGTCAGTCTAAATTCAAAATGAATAAGAACAAAATCAGCAAAATAATAATAGAGACTTTAAGGTACAATAATTACAACTCAACTCTTGTCAAATCTGGATCTCTTGTCAAATCTTGATCAGCCTTAGATTACTTCTACTGTCCACCTCCCCTATTACTACTTACAAGATGCTAAAAAAAGCTGAAAGCAGTCTTACAATCATGCTAACTGGGTACATTATAAATTCACGTTTCCCAACTTCAGCTGGACCCTCAATTCAGCATGACATTCCTTTTCCTCCCCCTTAATTGATTCCCTATCTTACTTCAAACAGAAACCATTCCAAACCTCCTCTTCCCCGACTTCTCCAATTAAGACCATTAGATGTAAACATTCAAGGATATGCAAGTCTCTTAGAGCTCATGCTTAAGAAACCTTCATCAGATTTTGCCATACCCTTAAGCTAAAATCCTATGGCTCTCTCCTTTCTCAGGCAACTCTTAAAACCTATCTCCACTCTTTGCCTCTCCTTTTTCTTCTTTCTCTTACTCAATTCTCTTCAATCTAGCTTTCCACCTCATCATTCAAATGAAACTTCTCTCTCCAAAGTTACCAACAATGTCTTAATCACCAAATCTTAAAGTCTTTTTCAGTTCTTGTCCTTCTCAGCCCATCTACTATATCAGAGGCATCTAGGTGGCACAGAACATTGGGTTTGCAGTTAGGAAGACCTGAGTTCAAATCCACCCTCAGACACTTATTAGCTACGTGATTTGGGGCAAGTCACTTGCCATTTGTCTTCCTCAGTTTTCTCAACTTAAAAATGGGGATGATAACATCTCCTGCTCAGGGTGGAAGTAAGGAAAAAGAAAAATATTTAAATGTGATTGGCAAAGCTTAAAGTGCTATATAAGCGCTAACTATTATTATCTGACAATTCTGACCACCTTCTCCTCCAAGGTACTCTCTATACTCTATGGTCTTTTGCGACATTATTTTCTCCTGGTCTCTTCTTTCTCAGCCTCCTTTGCTGGCTCTTCAGTTGCATTACAATCCCTAACTGGGAATTCCCCAAGGTTCTGTACTAAGCCCTCTTCTCTTCTTTCTCTGTATTTTCTCTTGGTGACCTCATTAATTCCCAAGGGTATCATCTTTATGTAGATGATTCCCACATCTTTATGTCTAGCCCTTGTCTCTCACCCAAGAGTCAGTCCTGCCATCACCAACAGCCTATTGGATATCCCAAAGACAACTCAAACTCAATTTGTCCAAAAATTAATTATCTTTATGAATTAGATAATATATGTAAAGTACTTTGCAAAACTTTATTACTGTTATTACTATTATTATTATTTCCCTCTAAAACCCTTCCCTCTTTCAATCTTTCCTATTTCTGTTAAAAACCTACCCTGCCAGTCTCCCAAACTTGTACTCATTCTCCCTCACATCACATATACAATACACAATCAGTTGCCAATCTCTGTCAGCAGCAACCTACTGAAACTCCAAATGGAGAAAGCCCACAGACTCGGTACTCAGCTCTAAACACAGGTCAGAAACTTACAGAGGTCAGAACTGGGGGGCAGCAATCAGACTATGGGATAAGATCCTTTTGGGAACAAACACTGAAAGCGTGTAGGTTTCCAGCCTGTCCCTGAGATCCTGGAATAATGCAACATTCATTACACCAAGAAAGCATCAATAGAATCAGTTCAGACCTTTCCTCCAGAAGTGTGCAGAACCCAGCATTAAAATCAAGTACAAAGTTAGGTAGCAGGCTGGAAGAATGACCAAATAAACAAACAAAAAAAGAATCCTATTCTAAAGAGCTATTATGGGGGCAGAAATGTTCAAGACACAAACACGGAAAAAGAGAATGACTCCAAAACATCTATAAGCAAAGCCTCAGAGGGAAAAAAAAATAGCTTGGGAACAAGCTCAACTAGAATTCCTAGAAAAGCTGAAACAAGAATTTAAAAATAATTTTTTTAATAAATGAGAGCATTTGAGGAAAAAAATGGAAAAGAAACGAGAGCTATGGAAGAAAGAACTGCAAAGGGAATTAACAGCTTGGCACAAGAGGTACAAAATCCTGCCCAGGCAACAAACTCCTTGAAAATTAGAATAGATCAAACAGAAGAAGCCAATGACTCTTAAAAAAACAAACGAAGAAATATTAAAGCAAACATGGGGGGCAAAATAGAAGAAAAAGTAAGTTATATCACAGTAAAAACAAATGACCTAGAAAAGAGATCATGGAGAAAAAATTTAAGAGTCAATGGACTAGAAAGGATTCTGGAAGATGGTAGAGTAGGTCAGAAAATTTTTGGCTCTCCAAATTTCCTCCACAAAAAAAGACAGAACACTGCCTCAGAGGAACGTAGAGCAGCAGAAATAAACAAAAGTTAGGGTTAAGCATTTGTTCTCCTAAGACAACTTGAGAAGATCCCAAAAAGGAACAGACCTCCCTCCAGGGGTGAAGGTCCAGCCAGAGTGAAATGCAAACACCTCCAGTGTGACTGCAGGATAGCAAACAATGAGCCCTGGGGGCAGCCGGTTTGGGAGGCAGCGCAGACTTAGAAACTGTCATGTCATGGACAGTATGGGTGTCTGACAACCAAGCAGGAAAAGACTGAAGGACCTTCCACTGTCAAGTGACTGGATGCCAAACACAGCTGTGCTGAACAGATGTGTAGGCTGTGGCTATGGGGGAGAAGGAGCTTGCACACACCTGGTAAATGCAGCGCTGCAGCGGTTGGCTGTGGCACCTGCAGGAGAGCAGATTCCCTGGTTTCAGTGTCAGGGCAGAGAGAACAGCTGTAGTTTGCAGACACTCGAGGGACCACAGGGAGCAAGATCATTTGCAGGAGTGGCTAGGAGCCCTAGCTGTGGCTTAGGAGTGGAGAGCCCAAGATTGAGCCCTAGGACAAACCTCAGAAAATAACAGTAAGAAGGGCCTGAGACTTGGGACATTATTCCCCATACCTCGGGACCATAACTTGATTACACTAATAGCTACTAAAAACAAAATAAAACAATAAATAAATAAATAAATATAAAGTGAGTAAGCAAAGGAGAAAGAACCCAATCAGATAGCTACTATGAGAATATAAAAGATTTGGGTTCATATCAGAGGAAGATAACGGAGCAAAAAGCCACTCCTTTTTCAATGAGAAATGTCAAATGGTCCCAAGCACAAAGAGAGTTCTTAGAGGAACTTAAAAAGGGCTTTAAAAATCAAATAAGAAAGATCAAGGAAAAATTAGAAGAAAAAAATAAGAGCAATCCAAGAAAATCAAGAAAATTACAAAAAGAAAAACAACCAACTTGAAATACACAATCAAAAACTTAAGGAAGAAAATAATTCCTTGAAAACTAGAATTGGACAAAAGGAAGCTAATGTCATTATAAGATACTAAGAAATAATAAAACAAAATCAAAAGAATGAAAAAATAGAAGAGAATGTTATGCTAAACATCTCATCAGAAAAACAAGTGATCTGGAGAACAGATCGAGAAGAAATAATATAAGAATAGTCAGACTACCTGAAAATTACAATAAAAAAAAGAATCTTGACATAATATTTCAAGAAATTACCAAGGAAAATTACCCTGAAGTTCTAGAACAATAAGGCAAAGGAGAAATAGAAAAAAATCCACCAATCAGCACCTGAAAGGGATCCCAGGAGGAAAACTTAAAGGAATTATCATAGTCAAGTTTCAAAGCTCCCAGGCTAAGAAGAAAATATTGGAAGCAACAAGAAAAAAAAAACTTATGTATCATAGAGAGATAATAAGGATTATGCAAGTAGCAGCTACTACATTGAAGGACCATGGGTCCTTCATAAAGTAAAAGAGCTGGGATTATGACCAAGGGTAATTTACCAGCAAAGTTAACTACAATCCTGAATGGGGGGGGGGGGGGGGGGGAAGGACATTTAATGAACTGAAAGACTTTCAGTTATTTGTGACAAAGACAGCAGAATTTAAGGTAAAATTCGATATATAACATCCAAGAGAAATATAAGGTAAACATTAAAGACCAATTACAAGGGACTTAATGAGGCCAAATTGTTTATTACTTATAGGTGAAAATATTATCAGTACTCTTTATCTGTCGTCATTATTTGGGTAGTTTGAAAAAAAGACCTGGGCTGAGCTGT